AGCTCCTTGAAAAATTCTGAATAGCCCATAAAGATGATAATATTGTCACTATTGTCTCAAAAGTGGCTATGACATACTAAGGAGCAAATAAGTTTCTGCTTCTAAAATAAGATAGTTTCATAATAGGAATAATTTCTTATGAGTCTAAAAGCCAAAAAAAAAAAAGTGAAAAAGGTGTTTAGAGTGAATTTGTAACTGAACTCCAACACATAGGGTAGCAGTTAAGGGCACAAAGTGTGAACTCAGAGTTCCTGGATTTGAATTTTTGCTCATCTTCTTACTAAACTTGTGACTCTAGCATGTTGCTAAATGTTTCTATGCCTGAGTTTGGACAATTTTTAAGGAAGGATAATAATGACATCAAACTCTTAAGGTTGTGGTGAGGAATACATTGAGTTATTAAATTTTGAAAACTTAAGTTATGAATCCTTTTTGACATTATTGATCAAACTGTAAAACTTTTCTGAGACCTTTCTTCTACTATCTCACTCCACAGGGTTATTGTGATAACTATGTGACATAGCAACTCTATCATTCATAAACAGTCTTAAGATATGACCAGTGCTTAATGGAACCACAATTTCTTCATTCTTTCTCCCATCCCCATTCCTCCTCCCATCTTTCATTTTGAGGTCCCTTTCCTTTTAGCCATGAAGTCATCCCATTTTTCAGATGCAGGGAAGCTGGCTCTGAATCCAAGTTCTTCTTTTTAATATTCCTTCAGTTCTTCATCACTCTTGGTGCTAAAACATTCATACTCCTGCCAACTGTTCTTTGCATTTTAAATTAACAGCCTGTAATTCAGAGGAACTAATAGTCTAAGGTCATTCCTTTTATATGGATAATATCTCATACTTTTGCTTGCACTTTATCATGGATAATCATATGAAATATGGATCCACATGACCATGAACTTCAATCTCAGCTTCCTAGTTTACCATGAATTAAACATCAGACCTAACTGTCTCCAGCCCCAGTAAAGTGTTCATTATAGAATCTGAAACAAAGCAAGCGCTCAATACAGAGTGGAGAAGTACTTGGTGAATAATCCTTAAATATACAAAAGCATACTCTATTTCATTATATCTACATGACTTAATCTGTAGCATTTATCTATTTGCTAATTTGTTATCATTTCAAAACCTCAACACAGCAGCATTGCATCTGTGACATACACATAATTAAAACTTAGTCTATCAATATTGTTGAAAAAGTGTTATGGATCATATTGGTGTGTGTCATATTCTTTGTTGAATTAACAAAAAAAAATGGCATCTGTTTCATGCCACAGTGATGAGGAGTGAAAATAAGTCTAGCGTAGGTGCTTGGCATATTGTAGACATTTAGTGATTTCATTCCTATTCATTTACATTATATTGAGACTATTCAGCTGGAGGCACAGCCATAAACCTGTGATGAACTAAGGGAGAGACATTTTACCCAGGAAAGCAAGTGAAGGAAAAATTATTACCATGTCTACAAGGTGATACCAGAAGAAAAGTGTCAGCTCTGGCTGCAGGGAGCTCCAAGTCCAGGTATAGAGGCAAATCCTTGCACAAAGAGCTGTCCTGGGCCAGGGCCAGTCATGACTTGGCACAGAGGAATTCAGAAGAGAAAGATCAGATGTGTGGCACTCTGAGTGAGATTAGAAGAGAAAGAGGGACAGGACAATGGTTCAGGAAGAAGGCAGCAGAGAGGATACAGGGAGTTCGTGACAGCCTGGTAAGACTAAAATTCTAGGAAAACTCAAAAGAGACATGGCAGTCCTCTAGGAATGACTTGGTATTGAAGCACATGATGACCCAGCATCAATCATTTGTCACTGAAGTCTGAAGTAATATGAGACTGGTATTTATTTAGAAAAGGCAAAGTTTCCCATAGAGGTGTTTTTCTGACCACCACAAACTATCTTCCTGCCATCCTTCCCTACAGAGGCATAGCATGTTGATATGAGAATACTTAGTAGAAATTCACCTTTTGAGAATAGACAGAGGTCACCATTCCTATAGCATGTGCCAGTGACTCAGCCTGTTGTGCATGAGCTGGCCCTGCCAGGGCCTTAAACATCCAACCCTTCTTCTGCTTCTTTCAGCAGGGCAGAAATGCCACAATCGTTCTTAGAGGCTCAGCTCATTAGAAATCCCAGGTTACTCTCAGTTGCCTGCCTATCTATCTATCTCTCTGTCTCATATTTTACTTCAAACATAATATGTATGTGTAAAAGAAAAAAACGGAAAGAAGATAAGCAGAAAGTATATCTTGCCAAATCTCACAATAATAATTTAATAATAAAATTTTTATTAATCCTTCCAAATATGATTTCTACAAAAATGCATCAACATTTAACAATACATTGTATGTTGGTGTTTTTAACCTGCTTCCAGAACAAACTCTCTCCATCTGTAAATATTATTTGATTGTATTAACAATGATGATTGACAACAAATACATGAAAAAATGTTCAAAATCTCTAGCAATTAGAGAAATGCAAATCAAAACTACTCTAAGATTTCATCTCACTCCAGTCAGAATGGCAGCTATTAAGAATACAAACAAGTGTTGTCGAGGATGTGGGGGAAAAGGCACACTCATACATTGCTGGTGGGACTGCAAATTGGTGCAGCCAATATGGAAAGTAGTATGAAGATTCCTTAGAAAATTGGGAATGGAACCACCATTTGACTCAGCTATCGCACTCCTCGGTTTATACCCAAAGGACTTAAAAACAGCATACTACAGTGATGCAGCTACATCAATGTTTATAGCAGCACAATTCACAATAGCTAAATTGTGGAACCAACCTAGATGCCCTTCAGTAGATTAATGGATAAAGAAAATGTGGTATATATACACATTGGAATATTACTCAGCAATAAAAGAGAATAAAATCATGGAATTTTCAGGTAAATGGATGGAGTTGGAGAATATAATGGTAAGTGAAGTAAGCCAATCCCCCAAAAATAAATTCAAAATATTTTCTCTGATATGAAGATGCTGATTCATAATGGGAATGGAGGGGGCAGTGTGGGAGGAATAGACGAACTTTAGATAGGGCAAAGGTGAGGGAGGGGAAGGGAGGGGGCATAGGATAGGAAAGATGATAGAATGAGACAGACATCATTACCTTAAATACATGTATGTAAACACTAATGGTGGGACTCTATGTACAACCAGAGACATGAAAAATTGTGCTATATTTGTGTAATATGATTTGAATTGCATTCTGCTGTCATATGTAAAAATAGAATAAATAAAATAAAGAAATAATGGTGATTGACAGGCAAAGATTGAATACATCAAAGTCTAATTAGGGTTGTCAGGATTTAATGTGCAGATACATATAAAAGAATAGAAGAAATAGCTCATTTCTTGTTCAAGTTCTATAATATTGATTACTGATTTATTTAAAAATCAGGTATATAAAGATGCTCAATCATATGGATAAATTTCAAGATAAGGTGATGCACACCTGTAATCCCAACTGCCCAGGAGGCTGAGGCAAGATGATCCCAGGTTCAAAGCCACCCTCAGTGATTTACCAAAGCTACAAGCAACTTGGTGAAACTCTATCTCAAAATTAAAAAAAATAAAAATGTCTGGGGATGTGACTCCATGGTTAAAGACCCTGGATTTAATCCCTCAGACCAAAAAAAAAAAAAGGAAAAATAGTTTTTCTCTTATTTTAGCCAGAAATTGTATGGTATTGAACATTAAGAAAATCTACAGAAAATAAAATGATTTTAAGCTAAAATGTATCATTTTTCACTTCATGTGTTTAAAAATTTATAGGTGATTACAAATTTATTATCACACTTCTTACTTGATAAGTTTCATATTGCAACATTTCAGAAAATAATTTTTTATTCTAAAATATATGTGCATCATTTTTTTTTCCATGTTGTTTCAATGACTTCACAACTTCTACTCTTTATACATATATTGTCATTAGTGTGTTTAGTCTATAGTATTTTTTGCTGATATATTTTTTTTCCATGTAACTTATCAGGCCTATATTTACAAGGTTGTATAGCTTTGCAATATTGTTTATCATTTAATATACTACAAGTTGTAAAATTTCTTAAAATTTTGTTGGAAGAATAAGGAAAAGATCTTGTATTATAATGTTTTAGATGTAAGAGGCAGAATAATTGTTTTATAATTAATTATTTCTTCCTCAATCATCATTTAATTCTTCATATGTTTACATTTTATTATTTTTCCCAAAATATCAATTTAGTCAAGATTTAAATTATTCCTAGATCTTTCCTCCATAATTTACAAATACCTCCATACTGTTAATATGTGTGATGTTTTATTTTCATTTGATTTCATCTTCCAGATGTTCATCAGTTTTACAACCTTGTTAAAAAATTAGGCTTTTTAAATTGTTTTCTCTTTTCCTTTCATATTAATTTGTAACTTTAAGTATTTTCAATCATTTTCAAAGTGTTTATTTTTTCATAGTGTCTTAAATTGAATATTTTATTTATTTAATTTTATCTTTTTTGTCATAAAGTTATACCCCCATAGTCTTATAAGACCATGAATTTTGGGAGAACATATTGGATTTTACACAATGTACTATAGTAATTCTACTGTATTATTTTCTTGTTGCTGAATACACAAAGACATACAATTTAAATCATAATATAACCTTTGCCAAATTTTAATATTATTTAAAATCTTGATCATTGCAATTACATTTACTTCATGTAAATAGTATATGGTATATTAAATAAATAAATAAATACTGGCATACATCATGATTCTATGTGTGTCATCTTATAACATCTCTTGAACATAATCTTTAATTTTGAAAATCCTTTCTGCATTACAAATTGTTTCCAAACCTACACTAATTTCCTGTGTTAAAAGAAGTAAGCCGAACAAAATTTTTCAATAAATTCTGGCCCACTTTACCATGAAATGCTTTTGGCTTACTTATGAATGACTGCCAGGCTGTCATCAAACATCTCATGACAGGAATCCCAACAGTAACATACATGACAGAGGCATATTTAAAATTCCTTATCAAAGCAAGTTTTGTAAGCTTCAATTTGTGGATATAAGGAGAAACATCCTCAGGACCTGGGTTTTCAGCATGTCTCTTGCTCAAAACTTCCTTCTCAGAATTTTGCAAAGCCTTCGCCGAATCTCTTTGGTTTTGATGGAATAGATGACAGGGTTGAGCATCGGAGGCACAAATAGATAAATAAGGGACATGAGTGTGTGTACATAGGGTGGGGCATGCCTCCCATAGCGAGCAGCCATGGACACACCAACCTTGGGCACATAGAAGATGAGCACAGCACACATGTGTGACACACACGTGTTGAGCGTCTTCAGTCGTTCCTCCCTGGAGGCAATGGCAAGCACAGAACGCAGTATGAGCACATAGGAGATGAACACGAGTGCAGAATCCAGGCCAAATGTAGAGATGACAATGACTAGACCAAAGATATTATTGATGGTGACATCACCACAGGGCAGGTGGATCAGATCTGGATGTAGGCAGTAGGCATGGGAGAGCACGTTGGCCTTGCAGAAGGGCAGCCTCAACAGAAGCAAAGGCAGAGGGAAAATCATGCAGAAACTGCGGATAATAGCAGACATGCCCATCTGCACCACACGGGCATCAGTGAGCACTGTAGCATAGCGCAGGGGGTGACAGATGGCCACATAGCGGTCGAAGCTCATGACCAGCAGGATCCCAGACTCGATGAAAGAGAAAAAATGAATAAAGAACATTTGGGTCATGCAGGAATTAAAACTGATTTCTCTTATGTGGAAGCAAAATGTGGCCAGTACTGTGGGCAGCGTGGAGAAAGACACACCCAGGTCATTAACTGAGAGCAGGGACAGGAAATAGTACATAGGCTGATGCAAGCTCTGCTCCTCCTTGATAATGAAAAGGATCAGGCTATTGCCCACGATTGAGACAGTGTAGAGGAGTCCAAGGAGCAAAATCATCCAGTGCTGGGAGGCCTCCAGCCCTGGGAGCCCTGTCAAGGTGAAAGGAGGCAACCCTGAGCTGTTGTGGGTGTCTCCTCCCATGCTGCACTGCTGCCTAGATGGTAGGGCCCCTGGCCCGCAAAAAAAGACAAACGTACAGTTTATATTCCTTTATACCTGTGTCTAGCACTCTTCCTCACATTAAAACTATAAATCTCTGTTCAATTCATGGGTAACATTTTTTCAAGAGACAAAACTCTCCTTGTCACTACTTCCTCAATTCTTATGCCCATTCCAGAGTAAACCACTTACTCATTAGACCACAACCTTTGCCTCTTCCCAATCTTTTTTTATGGTTTTGAGCCTTCACTATCTCTCTATGATTCCCAGTTCCCTAACTCCATAGTTACTAATTTCCTCCATCCGCTCATCCAGATGAAAGATAAATGCCCAGAAAAATGGATATCCTTGGAGTTGTTCATCAAGATGTGCTGGACTTCCATGTTTCTTCCTTCTGCTTCATTCTTCAATCCATTCAGCATTGCTTTTCTCCCTGAAGGAATTTAATTCACTGAAAGTAATTTTTTACCAATTAATTTCAGAATCAAATCCACTGTTTCTTGAAACCATGGAATTCGTATTTACTTCTCTACCACACAGATTTACTTTTCATCTGTTTTTCCTCTGATAATGATATCATCATTATGCCCAAGACTGAGACTTAAAATCCCTATATCACTTTGCCTCCTCCTTTTCCTTGGCCCACTGCATTAAACAAGATAACAGTTGATGAAAATATTGATCCCAAAGTGCCTCTGTTGGCACCTTTCTTCATTTCCTTCCACACTTCAGGCACAAGATATCACATTATTATGCTGTAATAACTGCACTCTAATCTATCCCTAGCCTATCTCTAAATCATCTCTAACCAAAGTGGAACTGATATTTTTTAAAAAGATGCGAAAATGAAATTTTCTTATTAAAACCTTAAATGGTCCCTTCATTGTCAAATGACCAAATTCAAACTCATTAACCTAGAATTAATGAGTCTTTTAATGGTCAGCACTAAATCAATATTTCTCTCCTTTTTCTCAAAATTCTTTTCCTTTTTCTTGAGAATATCCAGATATGTCTACATGCTGTCATTTTAAACCTTAAAACAGGTTGGTCCTAGAGTTTCCCTGATTGCAGAAAAATACCTGTTCAAAACATCTTCCATGGCTGAGGTCCAGGATCAAAACCAGTAGAGGGGAAGCTCCCCACCCCACAGAAGTCAAGAACACAGATCTTATTGTGTACACTTCTCTGTCTACCCTGCATTATAGCCTTGTGAATCTTGTGAATAAAAGCTCCGTACCACCATTTCCAAAAACCCAGCTCTGACTCTTATTTGTGGTTTCAGTCCCTACTAATGCTGTTCTTAGTGCAAGGGCTTCATCGGGGTTAATGAAAATCCAAAGTGGATGGTTATCAAAGGCTTAGGACTGAAGATGGTGCAACTCTGAACTTTGACTCCTACTCTACATCCTCACCTCCAGCCTTCCATCTGTATTTTTTGCTGCACCTACATTCAAGGCTCCTCTTTCCATTGTTCTCAGGATGTAATTTTTTTCTTCATGCTGCATTCTTAGGCCCCCTTCCTCTTACTTATCTGTAAGCTTTTCCCTATGCATTTTTTGTTTACTTCTCTATGTAATTAAAAAGAAAACTCACCTATTTTGGAATCTTTTAGCATTAGTAGAATATTTCCACATAGCTTCTAATCAGCCAGAATCCTGAAAAAAACATAGAATTCTCATCAGGGCATCTCCTCCCAAAGTTCAACCTGAGGGGCTATTCCTTTTGAGAGAGTAACATAGAAGGTAGAAAACCTGGTGATTTCAGAGACCAAGAGCAATGGATAGAAAATATAGATGGGGGAAGGTGATGAGAGAGAGAGAGAGAGAGAGAGAGAGAGAGAGAGAGAGAGAGAGAGAGAGACAGCAAGCATCTACACAAATAAGTAAGTTGAAGTAGGGATAGAGTTTTCTTCAGATTGCTATATTGCAGCCCTCAAGATATCTAAGAACAGAATTTCTCAAGACCTGAATTTGGAGTTTCTAACACTTCAATATACCTATCTGAGAGAATTCTGTGCAGGGAATTCGCTATATCTTACCACTTGGGATTTCTAAGATAAGCATAGGTGGCTTATGATCTGAATTTGGAGCTTCTGAAACTTCAACTTACTTACTTGAGAGAGATCTTGCTTTGACAGGAAGAGCAGTACTGGGGCTCCTGCATGCCCTGCTAATAGCCCACAATTACATCTGGCAACTCACTGGCCTGAGAAATATATGGCTGCTTCCAGGAAGTCCCTTGTGCAGCTGAAGTTATCAGCTCAGGTGCTCATGGACTTCAGGGAATATAGAACATCAGCAGTGCTCCACACCTCGCTGACTGGCACTTCATGTCCCATGAGCAGGAATGATCTGAACTTTGTAACTAAACCCTCATTTTAGGAATAATTGGAAGTATCTGACTAGATATATATACCTCATTAGTGGCCAAATAATAGTCATATCTTTCTCATCTAATTTAGTTTATGTCCTGCCCACTCTACACCTATGATCAAACCCTCTGGAAGTCTGGATAAAAAGAACACTATAAAGAAAACTCAAGCCATACAAATAAATTTCAGCATCTGAATTTACTAGAACATGTAAAATTGACCCCCAGCATGATAAAAACACTGGTGTGCCATGCCTGACCAACACAGAAAGTGATTATAGATCAAATGTGTTCCTTTATTAAAGAGGTATTGAGAATATAGCACTGTGTTGATTTCTTCACAAATGCTTATTAAATACTTAGTAGAGAGACATCAAGGGTGAAAGGGGCTACTTAATAAAGTTCAAAAACTGATGTGGAATCAAGATTCAACCACTTGCCTTGAGAAGGTAGACCTGAGTTTGAGTTCAGATTCCATCACTGGTCTTAACAAAAACCTCGAAGCCATAGTTTCATTTTTCACCCATAGTTAATAATCTCATGTCCAGAATGATTGGGATGATTAAGGGAGTGACTGTGTGGGAAGCAGGAAGCCCACTGGCTGCCATAAGCGTCAGTGGAGGTTGGTGATTGTGTTTCAGTTCCAGAAATTAACTCCTGAGAGTAAAGTGCATGAGATGGACACTGACCTCTGTGTTCAGAATAATAAGAATAAATGCTTGGAGTAGCATGAACAACTGAATTCTAGGAAAACACCAACAGATACAGCTAGAAGGAAGAGTGCAGGCTTACACTTGAAGCAAACCAGTAAGAAAGTTGCTTTAGAAAGACCCTCTTACGTACCCAGCGTTCCTCTGAGACTAACAAGAAGAAAATGCAGGCACTTTTCAAGAATCCCTTTCAGAGATAAACTAGAACAACACAGGATTCAGTGACTCCTTAGTTAACTCTTAGATGTTCCCATAGTCACACCAACCTCATGCACCCAGGTGAGGAACCCACCTGAAAGCTGCACAGTACACAGGGATTTGGCAGAATTCAGTGTCCACTGTTCCTTGTCCGATATCTTTCTCTATAACTTTTCCCACAAAAAAAAAAAAATTAAAAAGAAACAACTTTTCAACTGTCACTGTCCTTAGGTGCGACATCTATGGAATAAGATGTATAAAACACAAGTAAAAATAAATGTGAACATGATATTAGTCATGGGTATATGTAGATGAATAGGTATATCAATTCATAGTTTAGCTTGAGGAACTTTTAAGGAAACAATAGTTCAATCAATTCATTGATGAAGAGACACAGAGAAAATGTTACAGCAGAACAAAGGAAAACATGCAATATTCTAAGGCAGTCATAGGAGGTTTCCAGGTCACTTAGCAGTGCTGTCATCTCTTAAAGAATAAGTGAACGTTATTGAGGTGAATATGGCACACAGAATGCCTCCCCAAACATTTCCATGTTCTGAACTTACGAATATACTATGTTTCAGGAACTTTGAGGACTCTGTTAAGATTATGCATCATAAGATGGGGATTGTTCTTTTTCCTTTTGGATGATTCAGGTGGATCTAATTAAATCACAACAAGCCCTTAACAGCACAGAATTTTCAAGGCTAGAGTCACAACAATGAGGCAGATAAGTCAGAAATTCAAAGCATAAGAGGCACTCTTCCATCATTACTTGAAGGACTCAACTGGAAAGTGTAAGAGTTAATGTGGGCAAGCCACAGCTGAATCCTTCCCAAGGGAATGGAAACCTCAGCCCTACAGAGCACTGACTTAAACCAACAGCCCAAGTGAGCTTCAAAGCAGATTCTTACCCAGATTTCTGAATTACAGAAACTATGAGATTTTTGTTGTTGTAAGCTATTAAATGTGTGATTGTTTCTTATGACAACAATAGAAAGCAAACACATCAAACCTTAGGCAGGAGGGAGAGGAAGGCAGAGAACAAAAAAGGATTATTCATCACAGACTGGAAAACACAAATGCAAGGATCAACCTTGAAAGGGGAATGATCTGTAAACCTTCTATGACTGCCTTAGAATACTGAAAGTTCTTCTTTGTTCTGCCTTAAAATTTTCTGTGTCTCTTGAATCACTGCATTACGTGAACTATTGTTTCCAAAGAATGGGTGGTAAAACATACAAGTCTTCAAAGAAGAAATTAGATATTAGAAATTCACCTATGAAGTCTATGAATGGTGACAATGGTGGGGTCAAGTGTTCTGAAGAATAGGGACATTTCAACATTGCTTTGAATAGAAGAGAGGACACACACTCAGACTGAGCAATAGGAATTTCAGAGTTCCTATCTAATCACACTGACATTCTTCATAAATAAAAGGAAAGGTTATATGATAGGAGTAAGTGATCAGAACAAGTGGTGTGGGTGATTTGAGAGGGAAGAAAATATGAAATGTAAATATAGAAGCTTCTTAAACAATATCTAGTGTCCATTACCATTTGGACTACTTAATGAAACCACTGATTTTATCATCTCCTCAAATCTGTCCACCCTTTTAATTCACTACTCTCCTACCAAAAGCTCTTTTCTTGAGAACTTCCATATAGAGCTGTTTTTTCTTGTTTCTCTCAGTATGAGTTGTCAGGTCTGTTACGCAGCTGACACCAGTGGATTTGCCTTACTGCTCTGCTGCATGAAAATCCTGATTTCTGGGTGTGAAGGGTGTGGTAAAATCCAGGAATTGGGATTTTAGTACAGGAGAGCACATTCTTAGCTCTGTGGTAGAGTACTTGCCTAGCATGCACACGGCCCTGGGTTAGATCCCCAGCACCACAAAATTTTAAAAGCAATCCTGATTCCTTGATCGAATGCCTTTCTTCTCTTTGTCATACACATTTGTTTGCTGAAGTTTCTTCCAATTCGTGTTCTACTTTAAAAGGTAATTTTTATTTTATTTTTATTTTTGATTGACACATAGCAATTATATCTATTTATGGGGTACTATGTTACATGTTAGTATATATATATATATATATATATATATATATATATATCGTATAATGATCAAATAAATGTTATTAGCATACATATTACTTTAAACATTTATCATTTCTTTGTGGTAAGAGCATTCAAAATTCTCTCTTCTAGTTATTTTGAAATATACAATGCATTCTTTTTAATTATAATCACCTTATTATGCCATAAGAAACCAGAACGTTTTCCTTCTGTCTCATTTTAACAATGTACCCAGGCACCAGCTTCTCCCCATCCATCACCCATCATCAGGTGATGAATGCTCTCTTCAGCCAGGGATTCCACACAAGAATGAGATCATGGGCTATTTCTCTTTCTGTCACTCCTTTATTTTATTTAATGTAATGTCCTCCAAGCTATTTTCATTGGAAACCATATTTTTCATTCCCATGGAACCCAGTTTTTCTCTCCTTCCCTCAACTCTTTGTAAAGAACCTCCATGCTGCCAGGCACAAGTGCAGCCTATAATCCCAGTGATTTGGGAGGCTGAATAAACATAACAGCCTTTTTTTCCCAGCATCCTAAGCAGTTTGATCTCAAGTATGAGGCCAGCTCAACAAATTAGCAAGACCTGTCTCAAAATAAGAAATGGAGATTAGGAGTCCGCAGCGCCCGAGGCCGCCCCCCTCTCCGCCCCCGCCCCCGGCGCCCCCCCTCCCCCCGCCTCCGCGCCTCCTCTCCGCCCCTCTCCCCCCGCCTCCGGCAGTCGGGAGCCGCGCGCGGGCCCGCGGAGACCATGTCCTGACTGAGGCGGGAGGGCGGAGGCGGCAGCAGCGGGGCGGGCGGCGGCGCCGAGGGAGGCAGAGAGGGGCCGGACTCGGCTCGTCGCCGCGGGCTGTGCTGGAGTCGCCGCCGCCGCCGCCGCCGGGCGCTGAGCGTCGTACGGGGAGGAGGAGCGGGAGCTGGAGGAGGAGCCGCCGCCGCCGCCAGCTTCCTGCTTGACATAACTCACTTCAAGAAGTGCACAATGTCAGAACGTGGAATTAAGTGGGCTTGCGAATATTGTACGTATGAAAACTGGCCATCTGCAATCAAATGCACTATGTGTCGTGCCCAAAGACCTAGTGGAACAATTATTACAGAAGATCCGTTTAAAAGTGGTTCAAGTGATGTTGGTAGAGATTGGGATCCTTCCAGCACCGAGTCCTTTGATATGTCCAGACTCTAGTGCAAGACCAAGGGTTAAGTCTTCATACAGTATGGAAAATGCAAATAAATGGTCATGCCACATGTGCACATACTTGAACTGGCCAAGAGCAATCAGATGTACCCAGTGCTTATCCCAGCGTAGGGCGAGGAGTCCCACAGAATCTCCTCAATCCTCAGGATCTGGCTCAAGACCAGTTGCTTTTTCTGTTGATTCTTGTGAGGAATACAATGATAGAAATAAACTGAACACAAGGACCCAGCATTGGACTTGTTCTATTTGCACATATGAAAACTGGGCCAAGGCTAAAAAATGTGTTGTTTGTGACCATCCCAGACCTAATAATATTGAAGCAATAGAGTTGGCAGAGACTGAAGAGGCTTCTTCAATAATAAATGAGCAAGATAGAGCTCGTTGGAGGGGAAGCTGCAGTAGTGGTGGTAATAGCCAAAGAAGATCACCTCCTACTACAAAACGAGACTCTGAAGTTAAAATGGATTTTCAAAGGATTGAATTGGCTGGTGCTGTTGGCAGCAAGGAGGAACTTGAAGTGGACTTCAAAAAACTAAAGCAAATTAAAAACAGGATGAAAAAGACTGATTGGCTATTCCTCAATGCTTGTGTGGGAGTCTTAGAAGGTGATTTAGCTGCCATAGAAGCATACAAATCATCAGGAGGAGATATCGCACGCCAGCTTACTGCAGATGAAGTACGCTTACTGAATCGCCCTTCTGCCTTTGATGTTGGCTACACCCTGGTACACTTAGCCATACGTTTCCAGAGGCAGGATATGCTAGCAATATTGCTTACAGAGGTGTCTCAACAAGCAGCAAAATGTATTCCAGCAATGGTGTGTCCTGAACTGACAGAACAAATCCGGAGGGAAGTCGCTGCCTCTCTTCATCAGAGAAAGGGGGATTTTGCTTGCTATTTCCTAACTGACCTTGTAACATTTACATTGCCAGCAGATATTGAAGACTTACCCCCAACAGTTCAAGAAAAATTATTTGATGAGGTGCTTGATAGAGATGTTCAAAAAGAGTTAGAAGAAGAATCCCCAATTATAAACTGGTCCTTGGAGTTGGCTACACGTTTGGATAGTCGACTGTATGCCCTTTGGAATCGAACTGCAGGGGACTGCGTACTTGACTCAGTACTACAAGCTACCTGGGGTATTTATGACAAGGACTCGGTGCTTCGGAAAGCCCTGCATGACAGCCTGCATGACTGTTCACATTAGTTTTACACACTCTGGAAAGATTGGGAATCCTGGTATTCTCAGAGCTTTGGTTTACATTTTTCCTTAAGAGAAGAACAGTGGCAAGAAGACTGGGCATTTATCCTCTCTCTTGCTAGTCAGCCTGGAGCAAGTTTGGAACAGACACACATTTTTGTCCTTGCCCATATTCTTAGACGACCAATTATAGTTTATGGAGTAAAATATTATAAGAGTTTCCGGGGAGAAACTTTAGGATATACTCGATTTCAAGGAGTCTATCTGCCTTTGTTGTGGGAACAGAGTTTTTGTTGGAAAAGTCCTATTGCTCTGGGGTACACAAGGGGCCACTTCTCTGCTTTGGTTGCCATGGAAAATGATGGCTATGGCAACCGAGGTGCTGGTGCTAACTTGAACACCGATGATGATGTCACCATCACGTTTTTGCCTCTGGTTGACAGTGAAAGAAAGCTACTCCATGTGCATTTTCTGTCTGCACAGGAGCTAGGTAATGAGGAACAGCAAGAAAAACTGCTCAGGGAGTGGCTGGACTGCTGTGTGACTGAAGGGGGAGTTCTGGTAGCTATGCAGAAAAGCTCTCGCTGGCGGAATCACCCCCTGGTCACACAGATGGTAGAAAAATGGCTTGACCGCTACCAGCAGATCCGGCCTTGTACATCCCTATCTGATGGAGAGGAAGATGAAGATGATGAAGATGAATGAAGAAAAACTTATGGAGCAGAAGACCAAGGCATCAGAATCTGTGATGACCCCCAAGTTAGCTTGGTGCTCCAAGCAGAGTGTATAGCATGAAATGAACCAAATCTGGCAGGATCTGCTCAGAAGTATTTTTCTGATCCACACCCAGTGGAGATAATTAATGCATCTGCTGCATGAGGAGACAAGAGAACTGGTTGAACTACAGTTTGTATAAAACAAAAAACAAAAAAACTAATTTTATTAAGACAGAACTTTTTTCTTTCAAATTGTAAATCTGTCTATAAATGTAATGCATGTGGTTGTGTAAGAAATTGTGTAATAGGAAAAGTTGTACCAGCATCTTCATATTGAGAAAACTTTTTTCCAGCATGGGCACTTACAAAAAAGCACATGCAGACCACTCTTATTCCTTTGAGATGTTCTCTTCATTAGAACCTGGCATTCTATTTTCACCTTAAAAGATCCATTTTACATTTAGTCTGAGATCTGGAAACTTTGTACAAATTGTCCACAGCAAAACATAATAAATAAGCTTATATTTTATTTATTTAGTTCCTGTTGTGCCCGATAAAATCAAACCTTTTAGGAACAAACTACAAGAAAAGCTAATAATCGTTGAGTGAACTTCATAGCTTCCTTGGAGAGTTTTTAGTTTCAAATTTGTCATTTTTGGGTTTTATGATTTGCTCCTTTGAGCATTTAGATACTTGTGGACTTGTCTGGAAGAATGCCCTGAAGTGAATGTTCTTGCCCCAGACTCTGGGCAGCAGTTGGGAAGGGAAGGGAGCAGGCTCACTTCTCACTGAGTAGATCGTGTCAAATTTGTTCCCTTCAGCTCCATCCACATTGTTTTACTCCTAAATTGCCATGCAGAGAACCTTTGGATTCTTCCCATCTCCTGTTATCACCTTTGCTCTAAGCAAATGCTGTTAGGATGCTGTGCCTTTGCTTAGACTGATTGGGAATACAATTCAGTGCAGAATAAAGATTTTTAAAAATGCAAAAAAAAAAAAAAAGAAATGGAAATTGCTATAGATAAAGCTGAGGGGTAAAGTGCTCCTGGGTTCAATCTCCAGTACCAAAAAAAAAAAAGAACTTCTATGTCATTTATGTTGGGCGCCACTAAGTGACCTTATTGTACTTGGGGATGTTTAGTTATAAATGACACAAAGTGACAGTTCTGATCCTTTTCATCTTCTCAGGAAATATAGTCATATCTTAATCAAGGAATTGATTATGGAGCTTTCCTCACCCAAGACTTGGTGTTCCTAGTCTTTCTTAAAGACACCAGGCATAATTAACATTGCAATTCTAGAAGCATGCACTAGGAAACCAATCAAACTCTCTGAGCAGGGGAGACTGAGTCAAAGGAAGAGGTTAAAAAAGCCAAGGTGTAGGACCAGAAGTATCTGATGACCTTGATGACAAGGGCCATGTGGTGATGAGAATGTCACTATACTCATAGCAACTCATTGACAAACTAGGGAATTAATTTCCAGATGGGAAAATGACAAGTCTGGACAGAGCCATGAGCACTCTAATTAATCAACTGAGAAGATGACAACTGCCAACAGCAAATATCTGTTGAGCCCCTTTCAGACTAGGAAAATTCCAAAACCAAGAGATGGATTCTGACTGTCATTACTTTTGGAATGTGTTGTGGAAAACATTAAATTAGATGTCCCTTCCACTCGAACATAAAATGGCTAAACCACTGCTTCTGCTTCGGAGTTCTTTGAATTTAAAGGTAAAAGTCAAGGTACTGATAGTGAAATCACATTTTTCACATATTATAGAAATAATTTTATTATGTCATAGTTGTGACAGATTCAACATCATTAAACAGCATCCATCAAAAATATTTATTTAAACACCTGTTAAAAGTCATAAACAATGACATCACTCTAGTAAAATGCCGTAGGTTAGACCAGATATACATAAGGTATAAGGAATATAAACATCCAAAGTGTGTTTATCCTGCTTAAAATTACAATTTGGCGGGGGTGGGGGGCAGGTACCAGGGGTTAAACTCAGGGGCACTCAACCACCAAGCTACATCCTCAGCCCTATTTTGTATTTTATTTAGAGACAGGGTCTCACTGAGTTGCTTAGTGCCTTGCTGTTGCTAAGGCTGGCTTTGAACTCATGATTCTCCTGTCTCAGCATCCTGAGGCGCTTGGATTACAGGCATGCACTACTAGGCCTGGCTACTATTTTGTTTCTATTCATTTATAATGCATATGATATTTAGACTGATCAATAACAAAATTTCACATAAAACTGTACTTCAGTAAAATTAAAATCTATTTTAGAGTAAAACAGTATAGGTCATTATAGTCATTAAATTATAAAGAACATACTGGTATGAAAATATGTGCAAATACAATCATTTCCCTGCATTCTATTGGTGTATTACTGTTGTATAAATATAATCATTTTAAATTCATTTCTTAGTTATATTTTTGTGAGTCTGTAGTGTTTCAGGCCTTGTATTAGAGGCTCAAGAGTTAAATAAGATCATGCTCCCCGGACATGAGTTGCTTATAGTCTAATAGAGAAGATAAATTAACCAAACCAATATGACTAAATTATATTCTGAGTACAGTGGGAACATAAAACAGGTGATAAACAGTACTACTTAAGGTTAAATTACAGAAAATTCTTAAAATACTAGACAATGGTTTGTGGATGTGATATTTTGAAGCTGGACAGAATGGTCCATTTGTCCTTGCTGAATAAAAATAATATGAGAAAATGGACCAGACACAGGGGTGCACATCTGTAATTCTAGCAACTCTGAAGGCTGAGGCAGGAGAATTACAAGTTTATTCAGCTTGGGAAACTTAGCAAGACCCATTCAAAATTAAAAGATAAAAAGGGCTGGGGATATAGCTTAGTGGAAAAGCAGCCGTGGGTTCAATCTTCAGTACCACAAAAAAAGATACTACTACTACTAATAATAATAATAGTAACAATAGCAATAATGATAATAATATGAGGAAATAAGCTGAATATTTATATATTATATAAATTTTAGAGCAATTTACTTTAGTTAACTTCAACACAAGCCTATGAAGTAAAAAATCAGAGATTGTTATATCATTTTATAAATAAAAAATTAAGACATATAGAGGTTCATTAACTTATAGAGGATCTTACTTCTCATTTGTACTATCTCTGTGGGGGGAATTGTGCAGTCTAGAGAAAGAGGAAACATTCAGAAATGAAACAGCCCTTTGCTTCTCTATCTCCTGAGATGTTTCCCTCTCTCTTTCATATCTGTCTGCTTTCCCTTGATAGAATCTGAGCTTCCAAGGGTATCAGTATATAAACTTTCTTCTCTAATTTGAGAAGAGAGTTTGTATGCATATCTATTAATTTGTTCATTATCTTCTCATTTATTCATTATCACTTACTCAGCTACTTGTTCACTTATTCTTGCATTATTACACAAGCACCATCAGATATCTAAATGGAGAGCCCTTGGGAGATTTCCTGTGGAGGGACAGAATACAATAAGAAAAGACTGCTACCCTTGGAAGCTCAGATTCTATCAAGGGAAAGCAGACAGATATGAAAGAGAGAGGGAAATGTCTCAGGAGATAGAGAAGCAAAGGGCTGTTGACTTCAAGTGCCTGCATTCTTCCTGACCGCCCGGGTGAAAAGAAATCCTGGGAATCCTAAAGCCAAATTCTGACTACTTCAATACCAAAGTTGTTAAAGCCACATTTTTTCAAATACCATGTTGACAAAGACCCTGGTTGAGGACAGGATCAAAAATCAACCACCCACACTAAACTTAAACATTGGAAATGTTATATTCCTAGCACTTAATCACTCCTATTTGTGCCTGTCTCCTTAAGAGTTGTGCAGGCCCATAACCAGAATGTAACTAAAATCTTTAATTTTGTTCCCAACTCCTCTAAAAATCCCTGTGAGGATGCTCAGCATTCTTGTGATTATTTTTCACAAAAGACCATTTTTCTGCCTCTAGAGAATATTGATACAGCAATTTGTGGTTAAAGCCCAAGACAGCCCTGGCAGGCACCAGCCTGATGTTTATTTAAAAAAGAATTAATCCTAGAACTTGAAGGGCATCGCCCACATTTCCTGATTGTTCTATACCTACTGTGAATCGCCTGGCGATTCTCCCATCACAAGATCACCCTATGCTTGTAGATCTGCCAAGGAGTCAGCACTTGAACCTGAAAAGCATCTTCAACAGTCTGCGGCGTATTTCCTTTGTCTTAATGGAGTAGATGACAGGATTCAGCATGGGAGGCACAAAGAGGTAGAGGATGGACATTAGAATATGGACAGCATGGGGTAAGCCAGCCCCAAAGCGAGGCACAATGGACACACTGACCATGGGCACATAGAAAATGAGCACAGCCAAGATGTGGGACACACACGTATTGAGGGTCTTAAGGCGCTCCTCCCGAGAGGCGATGGCTAGCACTGATCGCAGAATGAGTACATAGGAGATGAGGATGAGTGCAGAGTCCAGGCCAAAGGTGAGCAGCACAACAGACAGCCCATAATGGCTATTGAGGGAGATATCAGTACATGCCAATTTAATCATATCCACATGAAGGCAGTAAGCATGGGAGAGAACATTCTGGGCGTAGCAGAAGGGCAGTCTGTGCAGCAGCAGGGGGAAGACCAGGATGAGGGCAAAGCTGCAGAGGACAGTCCCCAGGCCCATGGCCAGGATGCGGGTACTGGTGAGCACTGCAGCATAGCGCAGCGGGTTGCAGATGGCCACATATCGATCGACACTCATAGCCAGAAGGATGCCAGACTCTGTCCAAGAAAAGAGGTGGATGAAAAACATTTGAGCCAAGCAAGCATTAAAGGTGATCACTCGGGCACGGAAGCAGAGGGCAGCCAGCACAGTTGGCAATGTGGACAAGGACACGCCCAAGTCATTGACTGAGAGCAGGGACAAGAAGTAGTACATGGGCTGATGCAAGCTCTCTTCCTCCTTTACAATGAGGAGGATCAGGCTGTTGCCCACGATAGAGATGGCATAGAATAAAAGGAGAGGAAGGGATAGCCAGGGCTCCATGGCCTCCATCCCTGGAAAACCCGTCAGAATAAAGCTGGGAGCATCAGAGGAATTGATCCTGAAGTTGCCCATGAGAGAATGAGGACATTAGTTATCAGTCAGGTGGATCTTTCAGAGAATCTACACCGTACGTTTAAGATTGTTACTGTTCCTAGAGAGGAAAAAAAAAAACAACGCCAGAGTGTATAAATTGCGATTCCATTCACGAAATTCACTGGTGGAATAGGCAGTTGATTATAAATAGCTGTTGAAATAAAGGCTTCTTTTTTAAACCACTTACAAAAGAGTAGATTTCAGGGCAGTTACCCATCTCATTTGTTTTCACTAGTAGACAATTAGACGTCTGCCTTAGGAACATTCTGTTGGCAAGCTTTCAGACAATTCTAATTTCAGAGCTATGATCATATCTAATGTACTAGAAATGTTCATATTTACAGCCATTCTGCAAGATTGGTGAACAAATGTGCAAAAAAGAGAAAGGAATCACCCCAAGTTTTCTGGTGTCAAAGTTACACAGCAAATATCTGAATGTTGTAATACCACTTCAATCCCAAGGTCCTTATATATTCCAAGACCCACCGTGTCTTTGTAGGATGCCTGGAAAATAAATAGCTCCTAAGAGGCATTGTAGTGTTTCAGTTGAGGGTTTGAGTCCCAGTGTAGCTACATAATACCAATGTTACATTAGGAAGTTTTCTTAAACTATTGCCTTTACTTATAAAATAGGGCAAAAATAGAGTTGTTGTATAGACATACAGATATACATATGTTAGAGGAGAGAGAGTGAAAGAGAGAAATTGGACTTATCAAGAGAGAAATTGAACATATCAAACCAATTAGTAAGCATTACATACATATATATATATTGCTTTTAGTTTATTGTTGCTATTTAAAACAATGGGAAATTTATTATACTTTGTGTTTTCTTTAACAAAAA